CTGTGTAAGATGTTCTGTGCTACGGTGACCAATCCCGTCTCCATATTTGAATTGTTTTCCAGACAAATATTTAAACATATTACTCAACTCATCAATAGTATGTCGGAGAAATAAGAGAGTAATACAAAAGCATTGAGTAGTTTCCAGTCGATATAGAAGAAATTGATAGAATTCAGTTCAAATTGGGAAATCAATAGTTTTAATGAACGTCAAGTAGAGTGAAATAACGGAAAGTCAGTTTTTATGCAAGGATAACTGAAGCAACTAAGCTAGTAATATCACCATATCTTGTTGAAGAATTTGCAAATCATTTGCCAAATCTTAAAATTGAGAATTCAATTACAAGGGCTAGAATGAATATAACTTTATGAGTGACTTAGAAATTTATGCAATTGAATAGTAAACATGTAAAATGAAGCAGAATAATTGATATACTGAACTCCTTCATGAGTTAATATACATACGTGCACGATTGTATGTGTAGAATATTGCTATGTATGAGTTGTTCTTGTAACAATCATCTTCGAAATTGTTGAAAACATTCTGTCATGATATGGAAAAAGACAAAAACTGCATGCCAATTAAATAAGATGTTCACTTTAATTTTTCGTGTACTCTCATAATATTTGATACAGATTTTAATTATTAATACTATTTTATCGGCTTGTGCTAAAAGAGAAGAAGCAACCGTGAGATAAAGAAGCACATCCTGTTCATTGTTATTTTCGTTTCAATTATATACGATTCTATTTCAACAACAGTAAATTTCGTTAATGAATGATAATGATTGGTTGTTATTACACAGTATCCAACCAAAAGATGCATTCCAATAGCTAATATCTGTTTTAATTGCTTTTCATAAGCTCCTACAACTGTCATCGAAGAGTTGAGTAATATGTTTAAATATTTGTCTGGAAAACAATTCAAATATGGAGACGGGATTGGTCACCGTAGCACAGAACATCTTACACAGTGCATATATGTTGACACCATTGAATATCTAGTAGCCACTTAATTCTGTACAGCATTCTTTATCCCTCTCTTTCATGCAAACAAATAAATTCTGTTTCACAGGGTAATAATATGAGATGAATTTGTTCACTTCATCTATTTAAAGCATATGTTATTCGATTCATATTTAGCTTGCAAAAGAGTAAATAAAAAGTTATTATTTTGAAAGTCATCAAAAAGATGGTAGCAGTGGTTCGAAGAACATTTCAAAACAAGAATATGGCTACTTTCACTGAAGATAGGCTTCTCTCACATCCTTACTTTTAATCTCATGATACATGAGGCGTCATGGATATGCCATTATGGGGTGTGGGTGTGGGTGGGTGGATGTGGGTGTGGGTGTGGGCGTTAATCTTTCCTTCATTCGTACTCCCACCCACACCTACACTCTCCACTAAAACACGCAAAGTTATATTCACTAACACCCACAGAACTCTATAATATACATTCTGTCACGAATAAGTGCTATCCCTGAATAAGTTTTCTTGACAAATTTTCTCTCGAAATATCTCTCAATATGAAGAAAATCCTTAAAATAAGCGAAAATCTATATTAAAGCATTTGATAATATTGAGTTAGGTTATATATACAATTTGATACACCCGAATTTGATTTTCTAACAGCACAGGAGAGCTATAATTTAATCTTTGATATACAGTTCGAAATACCTTCTTATGTATTTAATTCTAAAAACACGTTAAAATAGATAACTATACAATACTGAATTTTACTTCCTTTGACTTTCGATGATAAATATCATTCAGAAAAATAAATGATATGCTTCGTTCGGCAATCGAACCCATGATCTGATAACTGGTTATCCGAAACAGTGCTCTAACCATTGAGCTATCGAAGCACGACTAACATATCATTTATTTTTTCGGAATGATATTAAATCATCGAAATTTCAATGTCGACACGATGTGTACGACGCACCTGCATATAGCGACACTATTTATTACCAAGTGAAAATGATGGTGAATTTTACGGTGTGAATGTGGATGTGGGTATTTTCTGACACTTGTCAAAACCCACACCCCCACTCATACCCATACCCACAGCCACTCACATATCCACACCCACAGCCACTCACACACCCACACCCACAACCACCTTTCCACACTCACACCCATACCCATCTTTTACCACCAAAACAGTACTAAAAAATGTTATTATCTGCAAAGTCGAGGGTGTAGAGAAAATTCTTTCCTTTTAAGAAAATCTCAATATAATTGTAACAGATCATTTTGAAGGATCTAATGTATTTTAAGATTGACCATAGATTGCCTTATATTATGTATAACAGCAGAAAACCCACTGATATTTTTTCTAGGTGCTTAACAAAAATGTCCGATGATCAGCAATTAGTAAATGACTTATTTAATGAAGTCGAGTTAAAACTAAAAAAAAACTTAGTAGATTCTGTTCCAATCAATCCAGATTCTACTGCTACCTGTTCTGCACAGCTAGCCACTTCACATCAACAGAGAGTCAATTTTGAAGGTATAACGTTAATATGGTGTGATCCAGGAATCGAAAAATCGGATGATATGACTAAAACCTTGACAGGATTGCAAAAAATAAATGGTTATGTCAGTTTTCATCCTGATGAAAACAAATGCATTCAAGAAATCGAAACAGTGAAAGATGAAAAAATCCAACTTATTATTTCTGGCAAAAATGCTTCGACTGTGTTGGCTCGAATTCATCATTTGAAACAATTAGACTCGGCTTTTATATTCTGCATGAACATGGAACTTTATAATGGATTAAGTCAAGTCTATCAAAAGATCGTGGGTGTTTTTAACAATCGAAAGAAACTTCTTAAATCAATTAAAGAGAATGTTGAAATGTTACAAAAGCATCTAGAAGTATTTATATTCTATGACCAAAATGATCAGAAGAACTCAAGAGATCTTTCGAAAGAATCGGCCGAATTTCTTTGGTTTCAGTTATTTAAAGATGCAATTTTGAGTATGCCATGCGACGAGCATGCAAAACAACACCTAATCTCATTCTGCCGTAATTACTATCGAGGAAATACGAAGGAATTGGAATTGATAGACGAATTTGAAAGCAGCTATACAACCGCAAATGCTATTCATTGGTATACAAGAGAATGCTTTCTTTACAGATTAATTAATAAAGCTCTGAGAACAGAAGGCATAGAATAATTGTATACGTTGCGGTTCTTCATTGCTGATCTATCTAAAAGTCTGGCAGAAGTACATCGACAACAAGCAGTAGAACAAAGTCAGCACTCTGTGACATTCTATCGTGGTACAAAAATGGATCGAAGAGAATTAGAAATGTTAAAGACTAATCAAGGCAACCTAATTTCATTAAATGGATATCTATCAACAAGTCGTTCACCAGATGTAGCGTTAGGATTTGCTAAAGCATCAAAAATACAAGCAACTCTGTGCTCTGTGTTCTATCAGATTGAATGTAACAGACAAAACATTAAATCAACAATTTTTGCTGACATTACGCAACAAGCTCAATATGCTGGAGAACAAGAAGTTCTCTTTGATATTGGAAGTACATTTCGCATCGTATCCATTAATGAAAATCCAGCAACAACACTATGGACAATTAAACTGAGTGCAACTGACGCAGGAGCACAAGAAGCTCGAGAATATATTCAATTTAATAGAAAATCGAACGAAGAAACAAGTATGACAATTCTCTTCGGAATTCTGCTCGCAGAAATGGGCAAATATGATCAATCAAGAAAATATTTTGAAAACTTATTAGCTAATCCAAAAATAGAACCCGATATAGCACGTGTCTACAACGGTATTGGTACAGCCTATCTACACAAAAGTGAGTTGGATGAAGCCTATTCGAATTTTCAACGTTCGTATACAATGATGATGAGCGCGAATCCTCCAAGAGAGAAGGACGCCACACGACCACTATCAAATATGGGCCTCGTTCTACTTCGGCAAAAAAATACAATAAAGCACTGGAATATCTTACACGAGCATTATTTACAAGAAACGAGTGCTACGGAGAAAACCATCTAGAAACTGCTAAAACACTAAATAATCTTGGCAATGCATATTACCAAAAGCAGGACTATAAGTTGGCACTAATTTACTATGAAAAATCGCTAGCCATACAACGAACAGAATTTTCTCGAGATCATTCAGATACGGCAAAGTGTTTGAATAATATTGCTCTTATTCACTGGAAACTGCACGATTTTGGCTCTGCCCTCAAATGCCATGCGCAAGCATTAGATATGAGAAGAAAGTTACTTCCACCAGAACATAATGAACTTGTTCAAAGTCTAATGAATATTGGAAGTGTTTATCGTGATATGAACGAATTAGAAACAGCTCTATCTTATCTAACACAAGCCATAAAAATGCAAGAAAAAATATTTGGAAGAACGGATGAAACTTCCGGATTCCAAACTACTCTGATTCAAATTGCTACCCTTGAGCAACGCTTAGCTAAACATACAACGAATTACGCTTCCATGGCCCGGTATGCAGTCGCTGAAAATCTGCAATCCACGCCACGAAATTCAAACTCATCAGCAAGAAGAGATCAAAACAATTCACGATGGAACACCCACAACTGACCAATCGCTTTTTAAATTTTAGTGAGACCAATTTGTAGAGCTTGTTCAGTTATTAACTGATATAACCCTCATTCGAGCCAACAGCTCGCTTAAGAGTAAATTTCTCATAATCAAAGTTTGCATCAGTCTACCATATGGGGTGAAAATTTAAAGGTTAAACGTCAATGGTCAATGGTCAAGGTCAATGAAGTGTATATAAGGGCGTTCAGGTGCATTTCTATCTCTCCCTCTGTCATTCTCTCTCTCTCTCTCTGTATATATGAGAGAATCGCATTTTGTTGTACAATTGGCAAAAAAAATGAAAGTGTATTGAGCAGAAGGTAGGCATGTACCGAGCCCGAGTAGCTCGGGCTCGGTCAGGCTCGGGCTCGGTTGGGCTCGGGCTCGGTCAGGCTCGGGCTCGGTTGGGCTCGGGCTCGGTCAGGCTCGGGCTCGGTCAGGCTCGGGCTCGGTCGGGCTCGGGCTCGGTCGGGCTCGGGCTCGGTCAGGCTCGAGCTCGGTTTGGCTCGGGCTCGGTCAGGCTCGGGCTCGGTTAGATTCGGTTGAGCTCAGTAAGGCTCGGTCAGACTTGGGTTCAGCTTTTCTTCCTCCCCTCAATGAAGTTTCTTCAGCGTTTTTTTCTTTCGTGTATCATAGTCAAATCTTTCTTATGATTATTTCAACATACTAACCGACAGAATATCTGAAGCTTATACATGGTCATACAACTCGGCTTTATGACCGTTAATCCATCTGCT